CCGCGTTTTTTTTAACCGCGGCTTCTTTCCCCCCTGCCGATCTGGCTAATCTACATGCCTCCGTCGAAGGAGGCATGTAGTCTAGACACACCCTAGGAGGGTGGTGAAGCACTGGAATGGGTTACCTAGAGAAGTAGTGGAGTCTCCATCCCTCGAGGTGTTTAAGTCTTGGCTTGACAAAGCCCTGGCTGGGTTGATTTAATTGGGATTGGTCCTGCCTTGGGCAGGGGGCTGGACTTGATGGCCTTCTAAGGTCTCTTCCAGCTCTATGATTCTATGACTAGCTAGACTATAAAGAGAAAACACTCTTGTACAGTATTTTGTGTATGCTTATCGGTTAATGGTCCCAGTTAATCTCAATATCCTCTCTCCTGCGTGCTCTGCATTTAAAACTTGAACTGGCAGGCTGGCTTAGTCCCAGCCTGCCAGTCCAAGTTTTCAATGAAGAGATTGCAGGGGAGCTGCCTACCACCATGAGCTGCTGCCTCTGATACAGCCGCTGTCCACAGAGGGCTTGGGCTGCTGCCACCCTGCACTGTAGCCTCTGGAAACTTCTGTTAGTTGTCCAAAGAAAAGCTAGTCTACTTCATCCTCCCTACTCTCTAATTTCCCTGAGCATTTTAAAGTCACTTTTACCATCCTGGTCAGGTGGTCGGTAATATATCTCTACTGCTATATTCTTATTAGAACACAGAATCCGTAAAGATTCTATGGTACGGTTTGGTTCATTTAAGATTTTTACCTCATTTGATTCTACACTTTCTTTCACATGTAATGCCACTCACCCACAGCATGACCTGTTCTGTCCTTCTCATAGATTTTGTACGCTAGTATTTGAACCAATACTGATGAGATTTTGGAAATGTCAAACAGGAGGCAAGTGCTCGAAGAGTAGAGGGACAGGGTCTGTGAGGCAGGTAGGATCAGTCCCCAGAGGATTTTAACAAAAGTAGGGCAATTTAAACTATCCTGAAATGAATGAGAAGCCAGTAGAGGAGTTTGCTGTTGTGATTGCACTTTTTATAGATTTGAGAAGGCAGGCAGCTGCATTCTACGTGTGCTAACATCTGGACGACTGGTCCCAGGGATGCCAGAGAGGATGGAATTAAAGAGCTAGGTGTCATAATGACAGGAGTCTGAAGAATGGATGAGATAAAATGATCTAAATAGCTCTTGTTAGAGAATGCTCACAGGAATCTGGATGCACGCTCAGAAGGCAATATTGTGTTGAATTTAACTAGGAACTACAAATAAATGGAGATGTGTGCGTTTCTCCTCACATCATACGTTATTTATGTTGCATTCTATGGTATCCTGTTTCTTTCACATTCCAAGATGATATGATTTACTTATATCCATTGTCATTGCAGCTCTCATTTCTTCACCTGATTCCATGCTGAGTGAGGCACACCTATTGTTTTGAGAAGGAAAATGCTTTCTTCATGGATGCTGTAAATGGTTTAGCACACTGCACATTGCTTTCAGCACTGCTTCACATGCTGCTTATGCTGTATATATGTCTCAGGGATGCTACAGAAATCGATTTACATTGGGTTCATATTGCATCTGCATGCACCGCTTCTGACAGAAGAATCTCCCATTGGCATATTTGCACTGATATTCCTTTATTCCTAAAGCAGGAGTGGTGAACCTAAGGACTGGGAACCAGATGTGGTCCCTAGCCTGCCTGAATCAAGCCCTCGAGGCTTGGCGCTCTCCCCATCCCAGCATTGGGGAGCCTGTGTTGGTGCTCCAGACCCCTCCCCCTGCTGTCCCTCCATAGGTCTGGAACACATAAAATCTACTAGCCTGTGCCGCCCCCCTCCCCCCCCCAGGCTCTGGTGAGTGAAGGGAATGTGAAGAATGTCTTTCTCCTCAGTTGGGGGCCGCATCAGAGGATTATTTTTCTCACTTGTGTGTAGCCCCCGTCTTGATTTTTCTGTGGATCAACGGCCCCTGACCCAAAAAAGATTCTTCATCCCGTCCTAAGGTGCTCAACTTCTACACATGGAGAGGAAAAACACAATATTTGGAAGGAGAAATGTATACCTGTAGAAAATGATCCATGGATACAATGCAGAGAGTATCCCCTCATTATGCCAGATTTTGAAGTATCCCAGACAAATGGAAGGCCCTGACATCTAAAAATGTAGACGCCCAAGAAAAGATCTTTTATGTATAATGTAATGGAGGCACCAGTTTCTCTATCAAATTTCTCTATCCCTTCCACAGTTTAGGGACACACACCCTTACCCAATTCCTAGGTCTCAGGGCATAACTTCCTGCAGGTTTGCAGGATCTTTTGCCATTGAAAGAGCCTTACACAGTAATATTCTTATTCTCTATTTATTGACAATTCCCAAGCAAGCAGAATGCACATGCTACACATACGGGCTGTGTCTACACTGGGCCACTTATTCCGGAAAATCAGCCGCTTTTCCGGAATAAGCTGCGAGCTGTCTACACTGGCCCTTGAATTTCCGGAAAAGCAACAATGCTCTACTGTACAAAATCAGCCGCTATTCCGGAAAAACTATTCTGCTCCCGCTCGGGCATAAGTCCTTATTCCGGAACACTGTTTCGGAAAAGGGCCAGTGTAGACAGCCCAGTAGTCTTTTCCGGAAAAAAGCTCCGATCGCGAAAATGGCGACCGGGGCTTTTTTCCGGAAAAGCACGTCTACATTGGCCACAGACGCTTTTCCGGAAAAAGGGCTTTTCCGGAAAAGCAGCCTGCCAATGTAGACGCTCCTTTTCCGGAAAAACTGAAAACGGAATAGTATTCCGTTTTAAGCAGTTCCGGAAATTCATGCCAGTGTAGACACAGCCACAGTGTCATGCTCACCAATTCTGATAAAGGTGGGCAGACTTTCCCTGTTGGCCAGGCAAGGTCAGTCTCTTTGGATCTTAGCTGCTGCACGTCATGGTCGTGTGGAGGAGTTCTGGCAGCTTTGGTCTTAGGCTGTATCTTGGAGGTGAGTTCTTCCAGGTCTTCCCTCCTTCTTGATCTTCCTTTCCTTTCCCTTTTCCGTCTTCCTTCTTCTTGGACCCCAGTTTATATAGTGTAAGCTATACCATAACCAGTTATTTTTGTATAATTTTACTAACCAATCATACCATACTGTAACAGAATTACCTAACCAATCATACCCCACCACCTTAGTTGATTTACACCTAGCAAAATTAATTATACAGCAGACAGAAACAGTTACAAACCAGACAGAGCTCACACAGACAAACAATAGGAAAGTAAGGACATAATCATAGAATGTGGATTCCACAACCTCTTCTATTGATAAACAGTTTCTTGCCAGATGAAATGCTGTTAACTAAGTTTTCTCTACCCATGTCGATACCTATTTCTTATCTGGTGACAAAGGGTGCTATTAGGACAAGGTCTCCTTCTTACAGCATAGTGTGACACTATTTTAATGCAATTTAGATAGAATGTGAGAATGTGACTCCAGGCTTTACAGCTAATGGCTGCTGCTCTTCAGTCTGGCTGCAGAAGAAGGCTTTAGTTTAGGCCTTCCAATATGGCTACAGAAAAACCATATTGTTACAGGATTAACAAAAACTCAACAAACTTTCCACATAATTAAAATTAATTGCAATCTTATGAATAGACTATATTTGAAGAAAATAAGTTGTAATTAAGCTCAATATTAATGAGACTTGTATCTTGTTTTTATGGTTACATAGGCTACAGCCTGGATAAACGGTTCATATAATCCTTAAATTGAGCCACTGAATCACTGTCAGCTCACCCAATTACCACCCTTCCTCAACAGCTAATCTGCATGGAACATTTCTGTTGGGTGTAAAGAGTCAGAAGGAGACTGGAGTCATGTCAAGGGATTTCATTGATTCATCTGTCACTGCTCTTTAAAAGTCCCATAGAGTACGTCTACACTTGCTCCCTAGTTCGAGCTAGGGATGCAAACATAGGCAACCGAAATTGCTAATGAAGCGGGGATTTAAATATCCCGCGCTTCATTAGCATGATCTCGCCGGCGCGTTACTCCACTCAACAGCTGATTCGAACCAGGAAGTGCGTGCTGGGACGCATTAGTTCGAACTAAGGGGTCACAAAATCTGATGATTCTCAGCCCTGACCATTGTTCAATGCAGATATAGTGGTTTTTTTCCTTACTAGTTGGATCTCTTTCTAAGGCTGCATTTTTTTTCTTACCTCTTCTGCTCTTTGCCCAGTTTTTAGGATTGAGTACTACACATAGTACTCAATGTATATGTACCATCACTCATCAGTGTAACATTTCTGTTTTCTTTTCCCCAGAGTTTAATAGCATGAATGTATATGAAGTCACATCTCATACCCTACTTTCTTCCATCACTTCTTGGGTTGAGCAACACGTGTGCACTGTATTTCTTAGCATAAGGGAGCCAGTGGATGATAGCACGACATACTGTCTAGTACAGAGGTGGGCAAAATCCTCTCAGTGGGCTGAATCTGGCCCATGAGGCAGTTCTAGGCCCCGCCTCCTAGCGCAGGAGTTGGCAACCTACGGCGCACATGCCTCTTATGGCACGCAAGACAATTTTCAGCAGCATGTAGGAATGAGCTCAGCCCCGTCCTTCCTCCCACGCATAGCCGCTGGTGAGTGCTCCCTCCTCCCTTCAGTGGGTTAGGCTGCGGTGGGAGGAGGCAGAGTACTATGGCAGGCTCTTCTGTGGCACTTCAGCCAGGACTGGAGGCTCTGCTGCTGCGGCCACATAGTCTGGGGCTGGCCCCAGAGGCTGGATGTGCTGCTGCTGTTGCCATGCAGTCTGGGGCTGCGTGGCTATGGCAGTGGTATATCTGCCCTCTGGGGCCAGTCTTGGACCACGTGAATCACAGCCTTGGAGCTGGCCCCAGACCACAGCAGCAGTGGGGCCTCTGAGGCAGCCCCAGACTGTGACAACAGCATCAGTGGAGCTCCAGGGCCGAGGCCAGACCATGTGGGCTCTGGCAGCGGGGCCTTCCTCCAGGGTGGCCAGGACAGCATGGCTGCGGCCGTTGCTGCAAGGGTGCACGAAGCCAGGTAAGGTTCCGCCTCATGCTCAGCCCCCCCCCCAGCAACGCCCTCACTTCCCTCCCTCCCCAAGACCCGGCACCCCCAACTTCCTCCAACACACTCCCTTGTTACTGCACACTCTCTCTTGGCCAGACACCCAGTCCTCCTCCTTCGTCCACATTGCTCCTGCACCCTCTCTCCTGGACACACACTTCACCCTCCCTTGCTTCTGCTCCCTCCACCTGGCCAGACACCCTATTCCCAGCCTGTTTCTGCACTCCAACTCCCTCCCAGATCCTGCACCTCATCTCTATCCTACTTGCTGGCAGCCCTGTCTTATGCACTAAATCCCTCATTTTTGTCCCTATCCCAGACCATAAGGTGGTCCATAAAATCCACTAACTCCAGAACCTGAGAAAAGTAAATTTGGCCTATGGGAAGCCTTGAACCTCAGTCCCCACCTTTCTTTTCCCTCACTCTGTCAGGCTGGGGCACCAGAGGAGTGAGAGGTCTCAGTTGGGGCCACATCAGGGTTTTTGGAGGAGTTTTTTGCTTCTCACTTGTGTGGTCCCCAACTGATTTTTCTGTGAGTCAATGACCCATGACCCAAAAAAGGTTCCCCACCCCTGCCATAAATAAAGAAAACATTGAAATCTTTTGTGTTGGACATAATATTTTACTTAGTTTATCAAACTTCTTTTTAAACACACATAAGAAAGATAAAATGCTTAATCTGTTTCATAATTTAAATTAAACCATTCTCCCTAGCTGCAGCTGGTTCAGAAAATAAGGTCACCGTACCCAGCCCCCCTTACCTCCTTTCCTCCCTCCTTCCCCCGGCACACAGATCCGTGAATAAGTTAAATATCAGAATGACACTTCTGAAAGATTGCCAACTCCTGCAAAAAGGTAAGATCTGCACCTTAATTTATTAATGAAGTGGCTATAAATAGGACTATTGTTGACTTTAAAAGGTATCCCCGGCACTCGGACCCCTACATAGAGGTGAATAAGTCAGATCTTGGCACTCCACCTATGAAAGGTTGCTGACCCCTTTGTGTTGCCTGGGAGCCAGAGATACATGAGCCCTTTCAATTGCTTTTATTTAAAGGGCTCGCGCTTGCTGGGCGGTTGCGTTGCTTGGCAGCCACCCGGCAGGCACAAGCCTTTTAAAGAAAAGCAATTGAAAGGGCTCACAGCTCTTGGTTCTACTGGCCCGTTGCCTGGGAGCTGTGTGAGGTGTGAGGCCTTTCAGCTGCTTCTATTCAAAGGGCTTGTGCCTGCCCAGCAGCTCCCAGGCAACAGGTTAGCAGTGGGGCCAGGAGCTGCCAGCTGTGTTATGTGAATTCTAAGCCTCCGCCCCAGACAACTCTGGAAGGAGACTAGCCCACAGCACCCTCCCATCTGCTCTAGGTCTCTTCCATTGGCTAGAAGTCAGGGCAGGGACTTTAGGCCAAGCAAAGCTCTGGGCAGGGTAGTTCTCAACCCTGCCCCTTCCACCCAAGGCCCTGCCCCTTCCGCCCGAGGCTCGCGGCCACTTCCGAAATTTGTGAAGTGGCCCCCCTTCAAGAATGATTGCCACCCCTGGTCTAGAATCATAGTAATACACAAAAGCCTCTTTCCTCCATTTGTTGTTTTTCAGTAAGCAATAGTATTAATTTTTCCATCACTGCCCAGGGTGATATTAGAGTAAAGCTTTCCAGAATTATTATTTAATGCATTCTAGGGATGGCCTGTGTAAGATGCATGCACTCTAGTCCTGTCAGGCTTATTCATTGTTTGTGAGATTAACAGAAGGCAGAAAGTGCCTACTTTTTTCTTCTTTGATTTTTTTACCTTGTGAGTGACAAACCAAATGCCAGTATTTGGGAATAAATTATAATTATAATAATTTGCATTTAAAATATATATACATGATAGCATCAGTGAGAGACCTTCTGCTTTCTTATTGGTGCACAAGCAAGTGCTGGCATCAGATCAGCCTCACTAGACTGCCAGCGTAAAATAAAGTTAATTGGACTTGCTGAAAAATCAATTGGGCTCAGCCTCATGTTAATTCCTGAGACTATGATTTAATATGACATTGGAGACGAAGCTGGGTAGGTGCAGAATGACTGACTAAACCAATCAACAAAGCAGTAAATTACACTTCAGAGATTCCCAATGGCAGCTTGATAGGCTCCAATAAAATCGCAAGGGGTGAATAGCATGGAAGCAATTTGTCAAGATTTCCAGGCTTCCATCGATTAGAATTTAAGCTTCAGTGTTCTTTCTCTCTCTGTTTAAAAAATGTCTAGTTTAATAGTATCTGAAATACCATCAGGGATTGCAGATCTGTGCACATGCAGAGTTGCCTCTAAACTCAGAATCACTTTAGTGTTGTACTCAAAATTAAACAAATCTATTGAGAAACCAGTTCTTGCCTCTAAACATGACAATTATTTTTGTGAAAAGACTAAGGTTCAATTCCTAGCCCTGTCTCTTGATCCCTAAGCCATTAGAAGCTGAGAAAGCTGTAGAAAAATCACCTTGTTTCCAGAAAGAAGCAAACCCCTTCTGATCAGTTCAGGAGCAGCGGTCATGAGCTTCAAAGTAAATCCAGTCGAACCCTAAATTGACAGGTGGCCACTATATTGTGATTACCTTCAGGGAGGGGAAATGAAAGGTGTGACAGGTTGGGTCCCAGAGTTCCCCTTGAGGCGGTCACCTGATAGGCTGTTCATACTCCCTGTTCTCTGAGGCACCCCATCATGCGATCTTGCTGAGCCAGTAGCTCTGGACTCCCCCAGCAAGGCACAGAGTTCAGGTTACTGCTCACAGCAGCATAACACAGACATTGAGAACAGCTCAGCTCTGTAAAGGCTCAGTCACGGAGACTTTTCACAACTCCCTGGTGTACAGCCCCAGTGGGATCAAAAGCCCAGATAAATCTCTCTTACTCTGTATAAAAGTTTTACACAGAACAAGTTCATAAAGTGAAAGAGAGATATGCAAGCTGTTGTTCCCGCCACCACCCAGGTAACATTTATTTACATTGGGATTAATAATAAAGCAGAATGATTTTATTAAGTAGAAAATAGGATTTAAGTGGTTACAAATGATAATAGATCAAAGTAAGCTACTAAGCAAAACAAAACAAAACACTCCAGCTAAGCCTAATACATAAAGAGAAATAGTTGTATATCTTAATTTTTCACCCTTTTTCTACTTATTTCAGGTAAAGACCTTCTTGGGCTTATCTTTTTCTGTTCTGGGTCCAGCAGCTTCTCTCCATCCCCTGTACTTACAATTCTTCTATTTCCGTTAAAAGCATTTTAGGAAAAGAGCATCTAGATTGGCACGGACGCTTTTCTGCAAAAGCACTTTTTGTGGAAAAGCGTCCGTGCCAATCTAGATGCGCTTTTCTGCAAAAAAGCCCCGATCGCCATTTTCGCGATCGGGGCTTTTTTTGCGGAAAACAAATCTGGGCTGCCTACACTGGCCGTTTTGCGCAAAAGTTTTGCGCAAAAGGACTTTTGCCCGAATGGGAGCAGCGTAGTATTTCTGCAAAAACACTGACAATCTTACATGAGATCGTCAGTGCTTTTGTGGAAATTCAAGCGGCCAGTGTAGACAGCTGGCAAGTTTTTCCAGAAAAGCAGCTGATTTTCTGGAAAAACTGGCCAGTCTAGACACAGCCTTAGGGTGGGGAGTAGTCTGTGAAGCCTGCTAAAGACAGTCATTGTTTGCTTCCCATTTCTTAAATAGAATTTCCCCAGGATGGGAAATCTTTGCTTAATTCCTCCTACCCCCATGGAAAAGTGCAAAATTCAAGATGGATTCCAACGTCAGGTGTCATGGTCACATGTCTTTGTAGGACCAACCATAGCCCAGGTTCACTGGAAAAACAAGACTATTCACAGGTAATAGTCTTGAGTACCAGGCCATTAGGTTTCTAAAGTACCACTAATGATTTTTACTAGCACATCTAGATTAATAAACATGTTTATACTGCGTATTTCTAACTTCAAATACAGGAATGATACGTGCACACAAATATAATATACACATTGAGGAGATTATAAGAACTCCAATGATAGATTACATGCCTCATTTTGCATAAAGCATATTTGAATTATGAATATTCCTATTAAAATACATTTGTATAAGAATATGGGGGGTACAGTGTCACAAAATGATTTTTTAAAAACTTCTCTTTCCACTATGCAATACTTGTCACATTCAGTGCTGCAGGATGTTCCTCCCTGGGTCTCTGTTTCTGCCAGGTCTCCTCAGGAGCTCTGCCAGTTGCAGTTGTTGGCTTATTTCCTCATCTGTTGTGATAGAAAATACAGAAGGAATTGGGAAAAAGAACAGAGTACAGTTATTCATAAAATTAAGACTTCTGCCATAACAGCACATCCCTGCATGTGACAGATAGCAGCACCTTTCCGCTGGCTTTCTGTTTCAGTTGAAATTGATTGCAATGTACTCTGTTATTTAATATCTTTGGTCTCTTTTCTCTTGTTATAGTCATGTTACTGAAGATCACCTTGTTTTGTGTGAGTAGAGACGTGGTGAGCAGATGAATCTGTTCAGCCAAGCACCGTTCCAGTAATTAGCTAGCACAATGGAGCATCACAGCAGGGATGAGATGAACTCGAAAGAGGAAAGTCCACAAGTGTGGTCTGAATCTGCTGAACAGGAACAGAATACTGCTCAGGTGACTAGCTGCTCCTAGAAATTTCTTTAATTATTTTGTAGAGCCAGGGACTGGGCTGGGCTTGCTTGCCCAACACTTTTGTACTTAATTACCTGAAGCCTGCCATCTTGTGCTTCAAAAGATAAGCTTGAGAAGAAATCATATCCTAGCCACTCACTGTGTTTTCAAAGTAAAGTTTTAGCAGTTGAACTGAGTGTGAACCAATGCTGTGAAGACTGAGTTTGCAGACAGTCTGAAACAATAGCTCTGAGAGATATTAACTATTACTTTTCATTTTGAGGGGCATGATCTTTGGAACCTTCCACTGATTTTATCATCAGACCTTTGGTTAAAGTTTAAAATGCAGAAGGAGTAATGCGAAAAGGAAATATGTAATTTCCAGTGACCGCTACAGCCCATTCCTTCTTTTATGAGTAAGAATTCATTGAATTAGTTTAACTGATGTCAGTATGATTAATCACATGAAGCCCATAATACTTTGCGTAGTAAATTCCTACCACCATTTTTTTCACTGAAAGTGTAACATATTCATATCATCACACATCTTCTTTTCTTTAATTTTTTTAGCACTGATGTGGATCAGTTCAAAGCATCACTGTCAAGAGTAATACATATGCAAAAATGTTTTTAAACCGTGGTTATTACTGACTCTTAGATTTATAAAAATCTCATTTATTCAACATTGCGCATTTTTTATTCTTTGCATTCCACTCAGTTTGGACAGCAAAACTAAGATTGATCAGTTTCACATTAATTTCAAAGCAGTTTCTTCTTTAGTTCTTAAATATTAGTACGAAACTGTTGCTCAGGGTCTCAGCAGTGTAAAGAATGATTAAAATATATACTAAAAACAAATTTTGGCTGAATTTGCACAGGATTGTGAGTAAGGCCTTGGAATCCTGGTTGTCTGAATAACTTGCTCCCTAGACTTTGCAAGAAATTGCATTTCTCTGTAGCTCAACATCTCCAGCTGTAAAATGGGAATAACAATACTTTCTCTGGCTTTTGCAAAGGAGGGTAGTGCAGATTCATTACTATTTTCACAGCGTCCTGGAAATGAAAGGCACTGAATGAGTGCTAAATATTATTCTCATAATTATTTATTTTTGTTTGTTTGTTTATTGTTTGTAAAATTAGTGCCTAAATTAAGATGGACAGGTATTTTCTTGGAAAAAATTCTGAAAAGGGCAAACAAAATACATTAATTTATAACAAGCTTTAATAAAATTATGTGAATTTTATTTCAGACTCTCTGAAAGTTTAGTACCTACAGTCTAGCTAAGATACTTTGGAAATGGATACCTAAAATAAGATTCCTAATTCCATATTTAGGTACTTAAATAAGTGGCCCAGTTTTCAAAAATGCTGAGAACTCAGCTCAAAGTTGCAAAGAAGAGACCAGTTGCCTGCTGGCAACAAGATGGAGTACACCGATGGAGTACACCAACTCATTTCAGAAAGGCGACCAAACAATTGGACAAGTGTGGATAACAATTTCAGTCACAATCTGCGATATATGAACTGCTGGCCTGAAGGTGGAATCTCTGTATCCCATTAGCAGTGTTAGGAGCTATCAAATAATTTTTGCAATTATATTTTTTTCCAATCAAATAACTTTCTGCATGTACATCTTACAGGGAAATAGTTCCACATATCACATTCCAACTTTATAGTATATAGTAGTATCATTTGCAGAAGCATCATAGAACATGAGAACTGAAAGGGACCTCGAGAAGTCATCGAGTCAAGTCTGCTACCCAAATGGCAGGACCAAGCACTGAGAGGTGTCTATCTATCCTGCTCTTAAATATCTCCAGTGATTGAGATTCTACAACCTCCCTAGGCAATTTAGATATTTGAAAACCGCTATCATGTCCCCTCTCAGTCTTCTCTTTTCTAATCTAAAGAAGCTCAGTTCTTTCAGTCTTCCCTCATGTCATGTTTTCTACACCTTTAATCGTTTTTGTTGCTTTATGCCATCAGTACATTAATGAATTATTTTAGTTATTCAAATAAGAACTCAGTATTTACTATCCAAATACAGAACTGAATGAATGAAATAATATAAATCCACAAACCATATTAAAATGAATTGAAAAAGTATATATAAATGAACAAGCCTTGTTCTGTGTCACATCAACTTCTTTTTGCTAAAAGCAGAAGGGTGAAGAATGTTAGGAAGGACTGTGTATGAACATTTATGTCTCTAATTAAAATGCAGAGGAAAAAAGAAAGCGTATGGTGCTTTTTATGTCCAGGTTTTGGCCTGGCTGGCATTAGATTAGACTGCTTCATCTAAATTATACAATGTTTTTTGTGTTACGTCCATAAATAATTAGCTATGTAGATTGGACTTAGGAGATCTTTACATGTTGAAGATGGCTATTATGAGTGTGTTTGTGGATACTTTCACATAGGATATTTATTGTATATCATCTTCATTTCTCCTCTAGGTGCACTTTGTCCCTGAAGGTGGAGCAGTGGCACAAATTGTGTACAGTGATGATCAGGACCGGCCCCCTCAGCAAGTCGTCTACACAGCAGATGGAACCTCTTACACTTCAGTGGACACCTCAGAGCACACATTGGTTTACATCCATCCTGTGGAGGCTACACAGGCATGTGTCATTCCACATCCATCCCCTTTTTGCCCCCTAAGGGCTATACAGAATAATAATTTAATTCAGGGTTAAAACCAGCTACCTACAAAGTTATGTGGTTTGTATAATGGCCATCAGCTATGCACAACTACCTCTCTTGAACCACTGGTGAAGAGGGAATATGTACTGTTCATTCCAATCAACTACATATGTTGTAATCACGCCAAAGCTATTAATCACAAAGTACTGGCTATTTCTCTTCAGTAAGATTGGATTGTAATTAAAACAGAGGTATTTTTTAAAACACATGTAATCCCTGCAGAAATTGTGCCCACACAATATTCCATAAAATGCTAAAAGCTGTAGAAGGACGTGAATACACAGAAGAGGAAGAAGTGCTGCTTAATCCATGTTTTTCTTGGATACAGTCTCCTTATTTTACACAGTGCTGTTCTGGTAATTAATAATAACAAGAGAGTCTGTACTTGTATAGCACTTTTTGTCTGAGGATCTAACCCAGTAGTCCTTATTTTGGCAAAACTATTGATTTCAGAGACCTGATATCTGTCCTGCATTTTTATTAGATTAAATAAGTATCTAATAACTGCTGCTTCTGATATCACATAAAATATATGCTATATATGTATGTATATTTCCTTTTGTATATATATTTAAAGGGAAAGTAGTTCAAACTAGCGTGGTAATGTAGGCAACCGGAGTTGCAAATGAAGCCCGGGATTTGAATTTCCCGGGCTTCATTTGCATAAAGCCGGGCACCGCCATTTTTAAATGTCCGCTAGTGCGGACTCTGTGCCGCGCGGCTACACGCGGCATGGAGTCCGCACTAGCGGACATTTAAAAATGGCGGTGCCCGACTTTATGCAAATGAAGCCCGGGAAATTCAAATCCCGGGCTTCATTTGCAACTCCGGTTGCCTACATTACCCCCCTAGTTCGAATTAGGGTGGTAGTGTAGACATACCTTTTGTTGATATGGCAGCATTAATATTAACATTGTAAAAGAACTGTGTTTGGCATATGGGAGTTGCCTTTTGCCTAAATTTCTACCTACATAATACAACTCTGAGCTAGTATATGCAGACTTTCTCATACTATCATGCATGGACTGCCAGCAGTCTGCAGATCCCATGCAATTTGAGAACAAAGTGGTGAGAGACTGAGGTATTGTGAAAGGAGATGGCTCATGAGTGGTAATTGCCTAGAAAGTTACTAATCAAATATTTAAAAAACTAAATATGCTGTAGAGTGTATAACTAGAACATTAACTTACATTTGAGCACAGTGCATTGTAAAGTACTGATTGCATTTTACAGTATCATGTTTATTCAGCATGCATCTAGAACCCTTCAGACTGTAATATTCTCAAATCTCAGAAGCCAAGCAGAGTTGACCTTTGTCATCACTTTGTTTTCCTGAGGTTTTCTCTTCCCAGAGAAGTGGTGTGAGAAGTGATCATGCTGGTTTACTAGGTGGCACTCCTTAGTCCTGAAACAATACTGGAGGTGTCATGTCTACAAGAATTTAAAAACTAACTTCCTGACCACTTGTACCCATTAAAGATTCCATGCCAAGTTCAAATATAAGAGTTGTTGGCTACATTTTCTTTTAAGGGGAGTTCCCTCACACTTACAGAAGGATGGAATTAGTAGTTTGTCTTCCATCTCCAGCTTCTTTGCTCCTCACTCAATTCCATTTTGGGTAAACGTTTTCCCTATCTAACGCGTCCTGTAATTTCAATAGAATCCATTATGTCTAAATTTTTGCTGTAAATTGTATTGTAGTGTTGCTATCAACTGTTAAACAGCTGCTGTATTTCATCCTAGAGGTTGTTACCCTTTAGCAATGGGGAAAATGATTATTTCATATATTCCGTCAGTAAGGTCTGTAAAGACCTTTTTGGGTATCTGAATGAAAGGTGATATATAAATGTAAAATTATTATCCTTTTATGGAACTGCTGCTAATTTAAGTTTACTTCCTACATATATACCGTTACTTGGGATAAGTTGAATACAGGTGCTACCCACAGTAATATGCACTTCTGAACTTCAATAAAATAAATAATTCTACATAGATTGCTTTTTAGCAAGAGGGTAACTCTTCTTCTGTGATTTGGCAGTATATGGAGACCAGCTTGATAAGCCTTTTTTGCTTTGTTTAGACTTTGTTTACAGATCCGTCCCAAGTGGCTTATGTCCAGCAGGATGCCACAACGCAGCAGGTGAGAAGCATTTTTTTTCCTGAAGGATCCTGTATAACGCAGTGAAACAGCTGTCGGAGCGTAAAGGGGCTCTGTTGTGGATTGCATATGCTATTGTGGATCTTGGAGTTATGTCCAGAACAAATCATGTTCTCTTTTAATAATTCAATACAAGCCTTTTGGTGATCATGAGAAGGAAGCCTTACAATAACAAGCCAGGGCTGTCTTGACCAATGTATGTATAAATGAGTAGAAAGATTATTAGAGAATTCAGCTTTAAACTTTAAAGGGGTGGTTTTGCTACTACACTGGCTTTTTCCTCCTTAATATTATGAAAATTGTTTGACAGCGTCCTTTCAAATGGGAGAATAGAGCTGTGATGATTTTTGTTTTGGCTAATGGCTGCGTCTAGACTGGCAAGTTTTTCCGCAAAAGCAGCTGCTTTTGCGGAAAAACTTGCCAGTCTAGACGCAGCCATTAGCCAAAACAAAAATCATCACAGCTCTATTCTCCCATTTGAAAGGACGCTGTCAAACAATTTTCATAATATTAAGGAGGAAAAAGCCAGTGTAGTAGCAAAACCACCCCTTTAAAGTTTAAAGCTGAATTCTCTAATAATCTTTCTACTCATTTATACATACATTGGTCAAGACAGCCCTGGCTTGTTATTGTAAGGCTTCCTTCTCATGATCACCAAAAGGCTTGTATTGAATTATTAAAAGAGAACATGATTTGTTCTGGACATAACTCCAAGATCCACAATAGCATATGCATTAGGTAGCTAAGACATCTAGGTTTCCTCCTTCAGGGTTTGAGCCAAGGACCATTGAAGTCAATGGAGTTTTTCTGCTGATCTCAGTGGACTATGGATCAAATTCTTAATTTGCCAAACATTTCTCAGGTATTTCCTAGGAAAGTGATTGTAAAGGCTAAATACTCAAATTGTTTGGTCCATGTCTATTCCAGGCTTTCTGCTTGGTGTGCTCACCAGTTTGAAATTGACTAGAAGTAGCATGAAATTTAGTGCTGTGGTTGTAAAAGCTGGATGATGTAAGGTATTTTTTCTGAGACAGTGAGGAAGAATTATTTTTCATTTTATCTAATATGTACCTAGCAATTGGAAAGTTCAAGGAAATGATAATAAGATAAAGTAATTTCACTTCTAGTTTATTGGTTCAAAGTAATTTCTGATTTAAAAATCATTTGATAGATATTTAGTGGCCTATATGAAGTAAGATGATGGGTTTTAATCAGTTCCACATTACAAAAGCTACCATTACAATTTATTCGAGCCTGCAATCTTATGGGTAGTTGGGGAACAGATTTGAAGGAATGAACAGACATGGAGAGCAAGCTCCTTTCTCACTGCTATGAAGTGACCCTCCAAATCTGGATTGAGGCACATTGGTAGACAACAGTGTGAAGGAAGCTTACTGCACTGTTGTCTGTGCTCTGTCTGTTCTGTGGATAGAGGCATAGTTGCCATTCTGGCATTTTTTACCAGTCTGGATTCACATTGAAAAATAACAAACAAACCCCACCATATTATTGTCCGTATAATCTGTTTTTTCAGCAGGCTTTTAGCTGTAAATATATGATCAAACTTAAATCCAGAAACCTTATATACACAAAGCAAGTTATGTACTTAAAACACAGCAAATATACTGGCTCACATCCCAACTCGTGATAATGATAGGATATACTACATGGGACCTAAGCATTTTATTTTTATATCCCCTAACCTCCCACCAAGGTCCCACCCATACACCAACATCTTTTATGTCATAACTTTCCCAGGCTAGGACTTCCATTTGTTTGTGAACTGTTATCATATCATTAGGGCGGCTGCTGCTTCAGTGAGTATTCTACATACACATTTCCTGTGTGAAATCTGAACTAATCATCACAGTTAAAATAATAATGAAGGCTCCTTTGTCTTTCAAAGGAACTTGATTTGAAAGAGCCATTCCAAGACTTTTGTTAAAAGTAATGTTGGTCCCTTGCAGTGCATTTCATGGAGATGAATGTAACAATGTGTTTGAAGTGTGATATATATGGAGGCTCTAATATGATATCTGCACAGACACAAGCTTTGTTTAAATCCTCATTGCCGGCAGGTCTGGAGTCATGCCACTGAATAATGCTGCCTATCGCATTGCCATTTGGCACCAGGAAATGTCAATGCCAGACAGTTAATTTCAGCTGTCTTCTTGGCAGCAGCCTGATAATTTTCACACTGTTCTTTGCAGCCATAATTTTGAAGCCGTTTTATAAATTAGACCAGTTAAAACAACAACAAACTCCAAGGAACTAGGAACTTGAGTATCCATGTATATTTTGAGGGGGTATTATCTGTTCCCTGAGGGTTCGTCTACACAGCAGTGTTATAATCTACGTCAACGCTACAAGCCATTATTTCAACATAATATTGAAATCATGTTGAGCTGGAGTACTTCTTACTCCACCTCCTGTAACCCCTATTTTATGAGGCGTAAGGGAAGTTGGAGGAAGAGTGCTCTTTTGTCAGACTTCCTGCTGTGTAGACAGCGCCAAAAGCCGAAATAAGCTATTTCGACTTAAGCTACGCAATTGACATAACTCAAGTTGCGTAGCTTATTTCAGCTTTAGCCCTGCTGTGTAGAAGTGCCTTGAGAGAATAATTTGCAGGCTTTTAGGGAATTGCACTAATTTACAGCTCTCTGTTATACTGGCCAATAAATCCATTCTGTTGTGCCCATTCTAGCTCACAGTAAAGTCTAGGTTCTAATATTATTTCTTTTAGAGCAGAATTAGAATTAGAAAATATATACTACCTTTCTATATGTATATATCTATAAGAGGGACTTTCTCCCTTTCTATTCTTGACTGCATATCTTTTGTTCTGGTTTTAGTTCTCTCAAGGTCTCTCTATAGATGGGTGAAGGTTTGTGTCTCAATTGAAAGACTGCTTATAAAATTATAGGCAATTCTAGCACTAGTGCAGTGTGAATGGTTAGGAAAAGTGAAAGTTCAGACAGCACTGTGATGAGCATTATGTAAAATAACTGCATAGATAAGTGGAAAGCAGAAAACAATGCTAACATTTGGAATCTTCTAAGTTTTGAGTGCTCCAACTCTCAGTTTAATCTCATTATTATTAGTTTCTTTAATGCCCGTTGGTTTGTTTAAGGAAAAGAAACAGAGAAGAAATTAAGGAGCTATTTCCTTTGTCACAAGGGAATAGAAAAGGGTGAGAAATATGTGTATATGGGGAGAACCAAAGGAAAAACAAGGTCCCCAGTACACTACTTTTAACAGAACCCAGCTAGCTAAAGGGCATTTGAACACACTTGCAGCTAGCATGGTTTTAATCTAAGACTGGAAAGGACCTTAAATTAAAGTTGAAAGCTGGAGATAGAATATTCCAAAGCTGCAAAATTCAGAACCCGTTTTCCTCAAATTCAGGAATATATAAGTCCAGGTGCTTGGTTCAGGCCCATCACCAAAAACACCTTTCAAAGTCTGCATTTTTTCATGTTGCAAAGAAGCTGTGCATGCAGGGCACTGCCCATATTTAAATGACTGATGAAATGATGCAGTGCTAAAATGAGTGCCTATGATTTTAGGTAACTGTGCTCTTGCCTGCTGCTGCTCAGAGCATGAACCCTACAAACCTCTCCGTGCTCGGCAACGTTGCTGAATCCCCTCGGCAAATGGCTCTGGAGCAGGGGCCACAAACAGACAGAGTAAGTTGCCAGGACCCTGTTTCTTTTAAATGTAAAGGTACTCTGATTTTACTGCCCCATGGAAAGTGATGATTAAATACGTCTGAGTGACGTGGAAAGTGATGCAAAAAACTTTTTTTTTTGGTGAAGGCTTCTAGAGCACTCCACAGTCTCATCATGCAATGTGGAGGGTTTTTTGAGGGAGCGGGGGTATTTGTTCAATGTATCATTGAAACATGGCCTATGGACTGTTCTCTCTGAAGCAATCACTTTAAAATATTTTCCCAAGGCTTTGAATATCAAATTTAGTAATCTCTATTATTCTGTTTGACCAGTGTCTGCTGATTTCTTTTTAGTAGTCTATTAAGACACTTTATATAATCTTTTTGTTATGAGATGCCTATTTTGAAGTTGGGATATTTTGTACAGTGTGTAGAATTTACCTTTGCTTTCTGTGTGAGAGAAGAGAAAGAAAATCTTCATTAAAATCAGAACTAAAACCAAATACCATTTAGCTATAAAGAATCAGCCTCCTTGTCTTATGTTGTTAGGCATTTAGTTCTTAATTATCTGCTGCCTCATTGAACTCTGCCTGTGTGTATGTGCGCGTGTGTATGTGTGAGAGAGTGAGACTGTGAATTCTGCCTCTGTGTAGGGGTTGTTTTCATTTGCTTTTGTGGTAGGAGGGCGATTGTTAGAGACCCAAGGTACTTTCTTCAAGCATGGATGGGGAATGGGTTTTGTTCAGTTGCTAAGATCCAAAATTCTCCTCTCATTTGGTGCATCCTCCTGCTTGTCACTATTTAATGGAGGCGGGTAGATATTTTCACAAAGCACCTACCCAGCAAGGGTCTCAATATAGTGAAGAATTACAGGACACAGCTTCAGCAGTCATATACACATGATTTCACGATCCCTCATTCTCTAGTTACCAAAGGAAACAAAGAGCTTTGATCCCTTCTGGATAGAAGAGCCATCTAACTCAGTGCTGTGAATTCCTTCCTCAGGCATCATTACCAGTGCATAACCAGGTATTACCTCCTATGGATGCAGTGGATGGTTCTGATCCGTTAGCATCTCTGCAGAACCCAATGGGTACAATGGAAACAAAAGAGGAAGATGATGATGATGACGATGAAGATGAAGATGAAGATGAAGACGCGGAAGATACTGATTTGGATGAATGGGACCCAGATCCACCTCGACCTTTTGACCCCCATGATTTATGTAAGTATAAGAGGAAGTATTTAATTTATTGCCCCTTCATGCTTCCCTGGTTGGTAGGTTTTTTTCTCTGCCATTTGGTAAGCGAAGTCAAAGACCATGCAGTGATTTAGAAATTGTAACCATGTTTGGATTGCACCTGCAGTAAATATTCTCACACCAGCCTATCTGACTTTCGCCTGGGGAGGGCAGGGTGGTGGGTTCAAGTCCTGCCCCTTCCTTCCCCTCCCCCCCCCGGAGGGATGGGACAGGACAGCCAACACCCAGGCTGGCCCCGGTGGAAGGCAGAATAAGGGACACCCTGAAGCTAAGGAGGTGGGGTGGCCTGGGGATAGGGCACTTGCCTGGAGAGGGCAGGGGGATGAGGTCAAGTCCCACTCCACTCTCCTCCTCTCCCTGGACAGCCACACTCTCCTCCAGCTGGAGTCCATGGACAGCTGCATTCTCCTCTAGCTGGAGCCTATGAGAAGCTCTCAAGGAGTGAGGGCACTGTTTGCTATAAGTAAATCTGGAGACTTCTCTTCTGTTTCATTTTAAGATGACACCCTACTTAAAGCATAAACAGACCACTGGCCTGACTGGTGTTGCACCTAAAGAAGTTTCTGACAAATAGTCAAGTCAGAGGTGCTTAAAGGAAGATTATATCTTGTGTGTAAGGGCCTTTCTTTATGCCCGTGCATGGGAACTCATGTCCATTATTTATGTCCTCTCTGTGTGTTTTGTAGGGTGTGAAGAGTGTAACAACGCACATCCCTCGGTGTGTCCGAAACATGGACCTTTGCATCCAATCCCAAACCGGCCAGTGCTGACCAGAGCAAGAGCCAGCCTCCCCTTAGTACTTTATATAGACAGATTTTTAGGGGGAGTGTTCTCCAAAAGACGCATTCCCAAGCGCACACAGTTTGGCCCCGTGGAGGGACCGTTGGTCAGACAAACTGAACTGAAAGACTGCTACATCCATTTAAAGGTAACACTGTGCGTGCGTGTGCATGCGTGTGTGTGTGTGTGTGACAGACAAAGAAAGAATGAGAGAGAAAGAGAACGAGAGAGAGACCTTACACTCCTTGTTTTTCATGCCCTAGAGTCTGTTGTTCTGACTTTATCACAGATATTCTCCTGACACCTTCATATCAGTGCAGTGCAACTCTTCCCAACCTCATACAGCAGAGAGCTACTTGTCATCCAGTTAGACTATTGTGCTCTGACATACGTGTCTCTCTGACATACGTGTGACCGTGGGTATGATGTTTCACTTTTAGTACAGGCTAATTTCAAGTACCAGCACAAACTTTGCAAATCCATCTCAGGACATTTTGCAGGCATTGCTTTGTGGCATGCTGTGACTTTAGTTGGCTACATTTCTTCTTTCCGCCCCCTCCTCCCCTGACTTCTAGAGGGAAGGGGGATCGTCTTCCTTTTTTAAGTCTGTTTGGATGGAAGAGGAATGGTTGAATGTCTCTGATCTTTTTGCTTACTGATTTGCGAGTAAGGAGTACTCCTTTATTCAGTGGAGGAGAGGCCACAAAGAGCCTTGAGACTCTGTAGAGGCACAGCCTGAAGATTACTGGTCCATCTAAACTAATACATTAGGTCTTCCCCATCTCTGGCTTCGGTGGCCTATTTACAGTGGTACGCCAGGTATAGAAATATGGTCAGTGCAATGAACATAATGCTTCCACTCACCATCTGTGAGTGGCTTCATTGGCTTTGCATGTCCCTGATGATCCTAGATTCCACCGGTGTCTACTTTTAGGCACCTTTTTAAGTTACATCTATTGCCAGAGTCCTGTGGGCAAAGTGAAAATCTCAGCTCTGACTGCATTACCTTCCTCACGGAGAAGCTGTGATTGCCAGAACAGATTTTAAAGGGCTCCAATTCCTTTGTATTATGTGACCACTGTGGAACATTGACCACTCTGTGTATTTTGATTTTTGACTCAGGTGTCTCTTGAGAAGGGCGACAGAAAAGACAGGGATCTACAAGAGGACCTGTGGTTTGAGCTGTCTAGTGAGGCACTTTGTAATTGGATGATGTTTGTACGTCCAGCCCAGAACCACCTGGAGCAGAACCTGGTGGCATACCAATATGGCCACCATATTTATTATACAACAATTAAGAATGTGGAGCCCAAACAGGAACTGAAGGTATGAGACGTTCACCCTTCATAACTCTCCTTTATATTGGGAAAGAAAGTGAATCGAATCGTATAAAAATATCCCAAATACTCAACTCATTTATGTTCCACCTAAGCTACAAATTGAAATCCTGTTATTGCCAGGTCCCTGGACCTGGTTAACTCAAGTGTATACAAGGCCTTAAACATTAGGGCTTATTGCTCTAAAATAGTCTGAGCAATTTCTTAACTTACTTAGCTAGCCAAAACATATGGGGACCTGATCCACAGCCCACTGCAGTAAGGAGAAAAACTGTCATTGATTTCAATAGGCTTTGGATCAGATCCTGAATGAGGAAACTTAAAATAAATGTGTACAAATGAACTTTCTCCCTCTCTCTCGCTCTCCCTCTTTAATAGTGTACTCCTAGCTAGGAATGTAAGCGACTAGTTAACTAGGCCCTTGACTAGTCACTTCTTCCCGCTCTTGCTGCCTCTGTCAGCAAGTGGGGGGAGGCAGCAAGTGGGGGGAGCAGGAACCAGTGTTGGGGGGGAGCTTCTTATCGCTCTCTTTCTCTTCCTCTTTGTCCCATCTGCCACATGTATGTCACTGGTTGTTGGTGTTCTAGTATTCTTTAAAGTAATGAGGTCTCTTGCTTCACCCAACTTTCCTGTGACTTTTGCAGCTTATACTCCACACATGCAATTTAATTTTTATATTTCTACTTGAAAACAATATGAAGTTACATTTTTCCTAGATTGAAAACATTTTATTTTCATGTAAGTTAGGGATGTTAAATATCGGTTAATTGAATAGTTGATTAACCTCATTAATTCTTATAGAATAGTTGAGTAACCTATAGGCTATATCAGAGGCAGTGGCACGGGATGCCAGGCAGGAGCTGGTCCGCAAGGGGAGTCAGTTTAAAAACCAGCTCTCCTTGCAGACCTGCTGTCTGTCGCCCTGTGCGGGGTGACGGCAGCCCCTGTCCAGTGCGGGGTCTGAGCTCCTGGACCCGGCACGAGCCAGAAACGAGCCAGCCTGCCAGCCTGCCTGGCTCCAAATACACTTCTCTTGCAGAGTCACTGCTGACCAGCCTGCTAAAAAATTTA